GATCCGTGCCACAAGACCCTTTGTAAATGGCACCATGACTGATGATGGAGGAAAAACATAGCTGTGCCAGATACATTTGCCAACATCTCAGAAAATTTCTACAGAAATTTATCATCGAATTTGTGAGTATATTAAGCCACATCGTTCCAGTGTTGTTCCAATAAAATAATGGGTATTAAGCAAACATGATTCCCTCAGGACGATGGTGCAACCCATGCCTTTAATGAGGTTCCCACCTAGCTGCACAGACAGAACCCAGCTGCACGGGCAGCCGTGTGTACGATGCAGGACACAGGCAAGCTCTGGCTGCCGTGACTTGATCAGCTCTGGGAGATTTAGGAGGAGCGTGAGGACAGGGGAAAGTGGCAGTGGTGTCGGGGGGGAAACGCCTGTGAGTGGGGAAGTTACAGCACAGATGTAAACCTCCTGGGCCTGGACCACACAGCCTGGGTTGTAGTCCAGGCTGCAGTATGTGCAAGCTCTGTGACCCGGGGCAAGTTCATTGCAAAGGCTAAATCTCAAGCACACAAAAGCAAAAGTACTAGCTCTCAGGAGGGCTTTGATGAAGTTAAGCGAGATAACAGTGGTTAGCGATTACAAAACACCCTGGGCCAACCCCTCTTCAAAATGGTTTACATTCATGAGTTCATCAAACCCTCCCAATAACTCTGTGCAATACACGCTGCCATTCTCCTCTTTTACCACACGGAACATGGGCGCACAGTGACGGTAAGTAACTACCTTAAGGTCCCTTCTGTTGTTGGGCGGGCTGGGATTCTGGCTGCAGAGCTCAGGCACTTGAACACTGTGTTCTGTTGCTCAGTCAGTGATCACCATTGGATGATCACCATTGGACGACCGCCATTACAGCTTCCGAGCGGGAGCTGTGTCCTTGACTTTGAAGCACCTTTGAATGTAAGGAGCCAGAAGAGACACACACACAGTAATGCTGTGACATGTCTCTCTGCAAAGTCGGCCTATGAGATCTGAGGGTGCTTTAATGTCTAACATTGCAATCCTACCTTAAAACATATGTTAAGTGGTAGTCACTTTTTACAGGGTTCTGCCCACATCGGTATTTCCGAGGAACGGATATCTAGGAGAGACCCGCCACAGTTTTTCACCCACAAGCAAACCAACCCCGCCAGCTGACTCACAAATCAACCCATTGCCAAGTCTAAGATGAGGGAATGGTCTGGCTTCCTCAGTTTGAGTTCACAGGTGTATGAAGACATTTAACCAAGGAAATTCTTCGTGAAGCTGAAACCCCGGCAGCCATTACTCTCAATAAAGTCATCTTTTATCGAAACATTGCAAGAGGGTGAAATGAATTGCAAAGTCACGACTGATGAAATTCCAAAGAGCGTACACGTTTAGGCATGGGGCTTTCTCTGGCAAACACAGTAATCACGGGTATTTCTCGGCCAAAGACACAAGGACACTGACGAGGAGTTTCAACATTGTCTGCATTTGTTATTCACATTATCCTGGACGAATTACTTTCTGCTCCATTTCCTAAGTAAGATAAAAAGGAGCAATTTTCTGCTGCCTTTGGATTTTCAGTAATTTGCTGCCTAACAGTTATTTTTATTTCGCCAGCGGGGAACAATGAGGGTGTCAATCACGTAAATCTGTGTAAGTGAGAAAGGGAAAGGTATCTCAGTCTGCACTCTGGGAGTCGGGCAACGGTGTATCGAGAGAGCACGCATTTCCCTGCTGTTTCCTGTGTGGCAGGCGATGAAAGCCGTCACCCTTACGGAAGGGCCAGTTTCTTTCTCAAGTAAACCTTACACGCTGAACTGCTCATGCCTATTGGTGTCACACTTTAGAAACCTGTAATTTTAGAAACCTGTAACATTTTAGAAACCTGTAAGAGGCAAGCTGCATATCCCTAAAGGCTTAGGGCGATCAGAAACGCCAGTGTCATAGAACGGCTGTCTCAGGAGGTTTCAAATTAATAGCAGCAGAAGCTACTTAGCAACACGTCACTGATGGTGGGATGACTTTTGAGACAAAGGGAAGCAGGTGCGTCTCGCCACGGAGACCGAGGGGACCTGAGAGGAAAGCACGACCCTGACCTGAACGCTGCGGGACTCAGGAGCACAGAGCGGGTGAAGACCAGGAGAAACCGCCTCATTCCCTGGACCACCAGGGTCAGCAACAAGTCCTTGCGTGTTTCCAGTGAGCCCAGCTCTCACGCGAGCTGCCTGCTTCGTCTCCTCCCCCGACTGTGTCGTCAAGTCTCTGCTGCCACTGAACTCGGTCGCCCGGGTCCACCCCTCGCACTGGTCTTGGGTTCTCCCGCACTCCCTCCACTTGTCTTCGCTTTGGGGACAGTGAGTGGGTTTTTTTTTTTTTTTGCCTCTTTAAAAGGCTACGACGCATCCTTGAACGCCCGCCCTGTTCTCCCGACACCTTGAAAATGCCCAGAGCTTTCAGTTCGCAACTTTCCCACTTTCTTCACACTCAGAGTATTTTTTTAAAATCGTACTCTGAATCCAATGTGAGTGATTCTGCTCTGATGTTTCCTTAAAACGGCGCACAATAACTCTGCAATCGTTTACATATCTTTTCATCAGTCAAATCCCTCAATTCTCCAAATAATGGACTTAGTTAAAATCGTTGTTTTTTTCATTTTGAGACTCTGGGTGTCATCTGCCTGTCACTCGATAGAGGGAAAGAATGGGAACTCGTCATTGTGGATTGTCGATGCATCGGGAACTCGCCAAAGTAAGTGAAACGTGGTAACTTGCAAGTCCTCCCAAATCCTCTAAGTCTTATCTCCCTTTCCCGTGAAAATAAAACAACCGAGAGTTGCTGTAGCTCTCAGCCCCACCCAAACACCAGCCAGCATCCTGAGCGTGGCCTTCAGCGGAAACCAGGCCAGACCATTTCTGCCCCAGCACAGCCCCTCCTCCGTGCGGGCGGAAGGGCCGGGCCCGCCGGGCCGGCGAGTTTACTTCTCACGTTAGAAACCCCTTCCGTGCCGGGGCCGGGCTGAGCCTCGCTTCCCCGCAGTGTGCACACGCCTTGCTGGGCACAGGACCCGGGGCGGCCTTCCACACGCCCGTTTTCGGCAGTTTCCCCTCTTTTGAACTGGATCTTAAAATAGTAGCCGCCCCGGAAGGTTCTTGTGAGGAATGAGTGAGGTGGCATGAGGCAGCCCCGAGTCCTGCCGCTGTCATTGTTGCTGTCACCATACTGCATTGTCACCCTGTCTCTGCTCTGCTCTTCTCGGTCTTCTGTGGCACGGAAAACGTCCAATACTTCCTTTTTTAATGGTTTCTGGTTTTACTTTGATGACAGTCTCTCATTTTCCAGAATATAAAAAGAAATGAAATGATACTTGACTTTAGTTCACGCGCTTGACAGTTTAGTCACACGGAAGTGCTTGAAGGAAAAAAGGGGTGCAGTTAAGGCTGTCAGGGAAAACGGGGGGCTGTCACACAGCCTTGGGAAGCGGTGACAGGGGTAAGGCTAGTCACGGAAACTTTCTCTCCCTTCCCAAACATCTCAGTGCACTGAGAGAGGGCACTTTGACAGCAAGAGCACGCTGGGAAGTGACACGATTTCTAATGAATGAAAAATAAATGGGTAATATGTGTTAGTAATTAGTTCTCACATTTAACAGCTTCTCCAAGACTGTGAATAAGTTAACATAGTGTTTAATATTCCTCTGAACCATGAACCCATGCACAGTCTTGTGTTATTCCATGATTAAACATGTCTTTGATCAGAAGGTCTCAAATTTATCCCCACAAATGAGGTGTCTACATATTTGATCCCTGGGCTTTATCCAGAACGCAGAGAAGTCGGGGCAGACCAGGCCCAGCTTCAGGGTGACCTTCGACCCAGCGGGGAGGCGGGGCCTCCATCCGCAGCGAACACCAATCGCTGTGAGCGAACCGAGAACAGAAGGTGGTTGACTTCGTTAGAGTTGCCTTCATTCTGTTCGTACGAGAACAGGAAACACAGTTTGACTGATGTTAGGACGAAGGTCAACAACAAAATGTTCAAATAGACCCATGATGCAGAAAAGGAGGGCTCACCAAAGACACCTCTTTATCTGGTCATTACACCAAACACACCTGAATGCATGTCACAAGTGTTTCCCCAGAGAAACGAGTAACACCCCTCAAAATAGATTGATACCTCGTGGTGGAGAGTGAAACGTGAGTGGGCGTGTCTGTGTCATCAATGGCCATGGCGCCCATCGCAACAGTAAGTACATCCACCGCCTTCAGGTCCTCGTGGCTGACAACGCCCAAGGTCAACAGGTGTCATGTGGATCACCTGAAAGTCAGTGCGGGGGGGTGGGGGGGGAGTCAGCTTCCTATTCCCCAAAGATTACGGGAGCTATTTGAAAACCTCCCATTCTGCACCCCATCACAAATGGAGATCAAAGCCGTACGGCAAAGGCGGCTCCACAGTGCTGGAGCCCACGGAACCGGCGTCTGTTCTGCGGGCGACACTGCAGCTGTGTGTCACGGAACGGTTTGGGGGGTCGGCCGCGGCATCAAGACAGGTGACACACACGAGACACTCCCAGCTCCATTGCCTTACACGACCTTGCTGTGAGTGCTAAAGGGATGTTCTATGTGAGAGTAACTTAGAAAAAGGAGTGTTATAAATATATTTGTTATATTTTTATTCTTTCAGTGGGCCATGCCCATGGCAGAGCAAGTAAGTTTTTATCTGACCATGTAGGTGGTTTTATTTCTAAAAGTAGGTTATTCACAGTGATATAAATGAATTAAATTAGGAAAGGCTAGATTTTCATTTTTGATGAATGAAAAAAGTTATGAATAGTGAAAGAAAATACCATTATCATGTCAGATTTTCATACCATTATCATATCATACCTAGATTTCCATGTAGTTTATTTACTACAGTAACTTATACTAATGCATAGCACTGAAAATACAGGCCCCACTGTGAAGACATATAGCATTTAATATAAACCAGTCTAAGAACGGGTCCATGTAACCAGTGAAGGGACTTGCAGATGCCAGGCTTTGAACCTGGGGCCTCATGCATGCAAAGCATATGCTCTACCGCTGAGCTACATCCCCAGCCACAACACTGGCTTCCCATGCTGATAAATCAATGCAGCCACTCCTGTTAATACGATGAGCCAGACCATGTCCTCCTAGGCAGTGAAACGGCCTTGGATTCCTACAGTCTCAACTGCCTGTCGCACGGAGTCCGCAGCAGTCCTCCCGGGCCGGTCCTTTGTCCCGCTGCCCAGCAGGTCAACAGCAAGCCGGTTTCCCGGTTTTCAGAGAGAGGAAGAAGCACGTTGTCCTTCGAAAGGCATCGTCTTCCGAGGGTCTTCTATTTGTAAGTCCAAGAAAATATTTTCATTATATCCCACAATTTCCCCAGTACTTCCATAGGAGGAAATAAAATTAAAAAAAAAGCAGAACAAAACTTTTCGCCTCCACTCCGGCTGGGGTCCTGCAGCTCAGACTGACAGAAACAGATGGACAAGAGGGAGACAGGGTGCGCGTGCGCGCAGGAGAAACCCCGTTACGGGGAACCCAGAGGGCCGACGTGGCACCCTAACAAGAACGACACATTTACGGGTGCGTGATAAGACGAGGAAAGGGAGGGGCGTAGGGTTTAGGGGCGAGACGCCGCACATGGGGAAGAAACCAATGGAAGGCGAAGGCACTCGAGTGAGGTTCGCTGTGGACCTCCGAGCGCCGTGCCGTCTCCGGGGATACGGTCGGCGTCCCCTCCCTGGCCCAGTGGGGTGGGGGCCACCTTCACAAGGGCATTGACGGTCCGCCATCCAGCTGCTGGGGGGTGGCAGGGAGCGCGCCCTGTCTGCTGCCTCTCTCGGTGGCCTTTCGCTTGCAACGACCGCTGCGCCAGACGGGCATTGTGCTGCTGGGCGGCGTGTCCCGAACGCCCTCGCTTCCGTCCTGGCGTGCGGGTGCGCGTGCAGGCCTTGTTGTTGGGGAAAACAAGTTGAGAGAAAGCGACCGAAGAGCTTACTTGTTGCAATAACAAGGCTGTCCTCGGGCAGGGACACGACAGTTTGCTCACTGACAGATCTGACCGCCCGCCCACCCGCGTTCCGCGGCATGCGGGGGCCGGAGGCTCGGCACCGACCCACGCGTTCTTTCCTGGAAACACGCGTCCGAAACGTGGAGAATTGCCGGCGCTTGATTTTCCCTGGCTCTGATGATACAGACAAAACAGTTTTTTGATGACTAACATTATCACAGCGAAAGGACAAGAAAAAAACAACAACAAAAAAACCTCACCCGTAAATGGAAAACCTATTTTCTGGTTTCATCTACTCGATCACCGCAACCCACGGTGCTGAGCGCAGCACATCCGCTGAAGCGGTGCTAGCGCGGGACCCTCTAAATATTTTATGAGCTCGTGGGAGCCTTGCAGAAAATCCAATTTCCGGGTTACCGCCAACAGCACATTCCGGCTCCGACGCTGTTCCTCTTCACTGAGAAGATGCAAACTTCCCAGCACATCTTTGCTCTGTCTTAGCAACAGGGTCTCACGCTTGGCCAAGGCGAGATCCTAGGAACATCATCGTTCACGAACCGGCCTACCAACCTGGGACACGTTTATGTCCATGAAACGCGTGGGAGGCGTGGTCCACAGTGATGCAGAATAACCAAGAAAAAAAAATACCTTTTGTCCTTTTAATTCCAGTTCCAAGACAATGACAGCTCTAGGAAACCCTTACCCTGATATTATGTGTTCTATATAATACTACATACTTAATTTCACATGTGTGCATGCTGATACTCCTTTGGAAAAAATGTGAAAGTACAGAATCATTTCCATTTTGATGAAAATAAGTCCAAATCAATAGCTAATTCTTCGGAGCGAGCAGTGACTCAATGTTCCTTTCCCGGGAGAACAGAGAAACCTCATAAACAGAGCACTTGAGGCCATGACGTCAGCGAGAGGCCCTGGTTTATTAATTCTTCCACTCTTTCAAGCAGCACAATGGAGCTAAATTTCCCTTTATCACGAGGAAAGTATGCTGAAATTGTTCTTTCTCTCGGAAGCAGACGGTCCAGGGGAAAGAAAAGCCTCGCTGAGCAGGGACGCAGGTGCCCCGGGGCGGCTGGATGCTCGCGGGCGTGACGCCCAGGGCGGGCGCGTAAGCTCGGGAAGGGCAGAAGGTCAGGGAGAAGCTCCTGAGAAGGGAACACGCCGGCTAAGTTTGAGGTTATTGTTCGGTGACCGTGCTATTATGGCGAAGATTAGTCTAAGAAAGCAGCGCAAGTGGGTGGAGCCTTGAGGAACTTCAAAAATGCAGGCTGATGGTCCCATGCTAGCAAATAAGGGGCAGAGAGGCGAGGAGAGAAAGATGTGGTTTGCGATTGTCTTACGGCAGGTGGCCGAAGGCCATATGCTGTGAATGCTTTCCTTTTTGTGGAGGAAGAGAGAGCAAGTTATTTGACAACGTTGGAGCAGAAGGACATGACTGGATGTGCACCGGGAGGTCGCGTCTCGAAGGCAGGGGTGTTCTTGCGAGCACCGTCAGGCTGGCCCCCGCTCTCCTGTGAGGGGTCCGCACACAACGGGGAAGCCTGGACACGGACACGCACAGGGGAGCCCCGCGAGAACGTGAAGGCAGAGGCCGGGGCGGTGGCGCCCACGAGCCGGGGAACGCCGAAGACAGGGAGCGGTGGCGGCGGCCCTCCAGGAGCCCGGAGGGGCCCTGGCACAGACCCCCCTCGCAGACCGTCCCTCGCAGACCTCAGGAGGGCCCAGCCCTGCCGACACCCTGACTTGGGACTCCTGGCCTTCAGGACCCTAAGACGACATACTTTTGTCGCTCAAGCCACTTTGCAGGTGGCCCTTTGCGGGCGCAGGCCTGGCGGACCAACCCGCCCGCCCACACCACGACTCAGCCGCGGCCCCCCCACCGGTGCCTCCTCCCGGTTCCCAGCTCGCTGCCAGGATCCATTAACCTGTTTCCGCTCGCAGCCTCCCCGCCGTGGTGTTAATGGGAGTCACCCAGAGCCGTGTTTTCTTCTCATCTCAGGGGGAACTGCCTATTTATATCTCCAGCATGTGACGACTTCTCGGAGAGTAAACACACGCTGGCTGACTAGTCCCCGGCGTCGCCCCAGAGCTCTTTTCGGGACCAGCTCCCTTTATTGTCCGCGGCGTCCTCCACTTACACTCCGTTGTTGTTGTTGTTGTTGTTGTTGTTGTTAGGGATTTATCCCTGCATTAGAAACGGTGACGGGCTCTGTGACGCGATCTCCCGTGGTTTTTATTTTTGTCAACAAATGCACAGTCGGCTGACTCTGTCTGTAACGTCCGTCAAAGGGAAGGAACCCACGGGAGTCAGCATCTGCGCCTGTTTTACGTGGCCCCGTTACAAGTGATTGTGTTAGGAGCATTCTAGAGAACTGCTGAAGTCTTTCCTCCCCACGTATTTCTAGTCTGGTGTGGGTCACTTGGTTGGGCATCGTCCTGCAACCCGAGGGGTCCCTGGTTCGATTCCTGGTCAGGGCACGGGTCTGGGTTGCAGGTTTGGGCCCCAGTCGGGGCACGTGCGAGAAGCAACCAATTGATGTTTGTCTCTCACATCAAGGTTTCTCTCTCTTTCTCCCTCCCTTCCCCTCTCTCTAGAATCAATAAAAAAAGAATACTTTTTAATAGGCAAATTGGATGGCATAAAATAATGTGTTTTTTTATTTTATGTGTGAAAAGTTTTATGAATATTAATAAAAAGAAGAATCTAAAGAATTCTTCCCAGTTTATTTTAGCAGTAGCTGTTATATCGTTGTGAGTTACATAAATTTACTTTAGTTGGAATTAAACACAGTCAAAATCAAATTAATTTTCCCCTGCTTGTATACATTAGAGCTTTTTTATAATCATGATTTTGTGTACAATATGCATGCTATGATATTTTATGATTTTTCAGGTATTAGATGCTCTAAATAACAGTTTGTAGTCTTCACTTGTGGCTAAAGGTTTTCCAGAAGTTTTGTAGACGTTTCTCCATACCTGGCCTCTTCCTCGAGGTCCATAACAAGCACCAGTTCCTCTGTAGGTGCTTCTCAAACAATCCTAACAGATATCAAAACTAGTAATGGCATCTCTTTAGGTAGTTCACAATTTATTTCCTTACCTATTTTATATGTAATGGTTTTTCTTTTGAAATGTTATTTTACGGTTTGCGTGCGAGGCCCCTGAATGCAGAGAGCAGGACCCCTGCTCTGTCCCCTGTCCACAAAGCCTTGGACACGGGCTGGCGCGTGGCAGAACAGAGATGACGTTTCCAGTTCATTCACCGTATCAGTCTCGTTCTAGGTCTCCTTTTGAAGGTCCTGCTTCACAAAATGGGGCTGCTTCAGAAGAGCTGTTTTGTTCTCAGAAACACACAAGCACGAAGGAAACTTGAAATTCATGTCAGATTTCACGCTCAGCTGCAGGCTACTCAAACAATTTATGGACATAAACGATTTCAGCCCAGCATCACAATCACAGAGACGTTTTTGTAGCGTTTCCATACATTTAGATTTCTTAAAATTCGATTCTGAAAAAGCACTTTGGCATAAACACTGACATTTGTTAGTCTGTCAAGAAACATTTATTGAGCGTGTACAGTAGAGGCAAGAATGTTGTAAATCATTTTCGTGTTTTTCTCAGTAATTTTCTTGACATGGTGTGTTTTCCCTGGAGGATGAATGGCAGGTCTCCTCTGGTTTCAGGTGGCCCAGCCACACGTGACCAGGGTCACGGTTTTGTGGAGGTATAAATGCTGTTTTGTTTTGTTTTTTGAGGACACCATTTTTCTCTCTGACCCTGAAATGATGTCTCAGAGTATGATTGATAGGGTGGCAGGAATAATCAAATGGTGACATTCTTTAGTGTCAAATTGAAATAGCAATTCTCTAGGTTCAGAGATAATTGTGTAGAACTGTTTTTAATACAAATATAGTATTTTTCTGCTTATATAAGACTACAAAGGCAGCAGTGAGTTAGGGATGAAAAGTGTTATTAGCAGCACATGAGTCACACATGTCATCAAAATGTCACTTCGTACAATAAATGCAAAGGTGTGTCAGGC